CTGTTGTGAGCCGCCCAGAGTCCTCCGGGAGTGGGCGGCATACAAGACAAATAAAATGAAAACAATGAAATGAATTCATTACTCATTTACCTACCCGCAAGGGGGTATTGGTACCAATATCCTGTTTCATTTGTTTTAGTTAGGTGAAGCAAACAGAACAACTAATCTTAAGGGTAATCATTCCTTTTTGCCATTCCACATGGTAAAGAAACTTTAATACTCAAATAATTTGTCTAGTTGTCAAATTCTCTTTTATGGTGAAAGTGAAACTTAAAAGGAAAGTATTTGTTAAGTGCTTGTTAATGTTGTTAAATGAATTAAGAGCTCAAGATTAAAGAAAACAGCATTGGTTTATTAACAAACTATAAGATTTAACAAATTTGGGGATTAAGTGAACTTTTTGGATTTAATAATTTGGCTGCTGGAAAGTGTGATTTGAATATTTGGAAATGGCTTCAAAACAAACAAAAATAAGTGCTTCTAAGAATGCTGGAAGTTCCCCAGCCCAGCTACCCAAACTGCAGTCTTTATTACTACCAGCTGATACACAAACAGTGACATTTGAAGTCCTCCAAGGCACTTTAAAGGCACAAGCCTCTGTTTTGCAAGAAAAAATTACAACAGCTTTTAAAGATGTGTCTGACGAAATGTCTGAAATTAGGGATTTAATCCAAACCCGCAATCAACAAATAAGAGAGGATATAGTGGATGCATTTAAGGGTTTGTTTGGTTATGTAACATCACTGGAGGATAGGGTGGAAGAAAATAATCAGTTTAATGTGAATTTGGAGAACAAAGTTGATGAGGCTCAAATCAAGATCGAAAAGTCAGAGGCAGAAGTTACAATGATACAATACAGAGCGATAGAATTAGATTTGAGAATAAGAGGCTTGAAAGAAAATAATCAAGAAAACTTGAAAGAGATTTTTGCAGAAGCTTTCGCTCAGTTAATTGGCGAATCAAAGGCCAAATATGATTGGCAGATTGGCAAAATTTATCATGTTAATTCATGGATTGCTAGACAGAGACAACTACCACGAGATATTATGATCTATTTTCTCACCAGGAAAACAAGGAATGGAATATTACAAGCGATTTATAAAAACAAGCTACAGATAGCAGGACAGGAGATGGCAGTATTGAAGGAAATTCCCTCTAAAATGTTGAGATCCAGAAAGGACTATGCATTCCTAGTTGATGTACTTAGAAATTGCCAGAAACAGTATAGATGGGAGGTTCCAGCTGGACTGGTGGTGAATTATTTAGAAAAAACATATCGTCTTAATTCAGTTTGGAAGGCAAGAGATTTTTACAGTAATGTATTAAAGGCTGGATACCCACCATCTCCAGGATAANAACTACAGTGAAGGTCATAGAGTCATATGTTTATCATTAATGTTAGATTTGTTGTATATTCCTTTTCTTTTTCCTGTGTATTTTTGGTAATCCTTGTTTTATTGTTTTGCTTTATATTTTATTTTTGGAAAAATAGAAGAAAAAAATAAAAAAGATCAGTAATGGTGATGCCTAGTGTTGTCATTGCCGTCTTTTGTGGGATAAAGCCAAGGTCACTGTCAGCCAGTGTCCAAATGGAATCAGAGATACTGGCAAAAACTTGTGGTTTTACATAAATAAATATATTTACAGGGCACTTTCGGTGGCACTCTAGGTGTTGAAGGACGTTCCTGTGGGAATGCCAGCCCCGTGATTGTGTCTAAGCTGCTAGAACAGCGTAAACCAGCTGTCTAACGGCTTGAAATTCTCCCCTTGGGAAAAGAGGGGGAGGTGAGCAGCTGGGCAAGGGTAGAGCTCCCCTAGACCCCCAGGAGCAATTCTGGGGCTCGAAGGGTGAGAGCCTCCCAGCAGCCCGACAGAGCTTCGCATCCAGGACACTTCTGCTGTAGCAGAACAAAACACCACGACCATCCCTGCAATCAACGTTTTAATCTACACTTGAATAAGAAGCAGGCAGAGCAAAGACAGGAGTGATTATAATTGCAAGTACAAACCTTAACTCTGATGCAGTATTACTTCCTTCTGAGAAGATTGAAGAGGAAAAAAGGGAAGATGGCACCTAAAAGTTAAAGGGTGTGGTTGTAGCAGAAAATGAGACAAGACCAGCTCTTTGTCAGAGGTTTATTTGCACAAAGGTTCAGTAGCGATTGGTCAAGCAAAATCTGAACCCCAAAGGGCAGTTGTTTACAGTCTTTTATATTCTTAGACAACTTATTGATTATCCCAAAGTACCTGGCCTTCCTGTGTCACGTATACACAATCTCCCAAAATAGAGACATGACACTCATTACTCATTTATCTCCCCACAGGGGGTATTGGTACCAATATCCTGTTTCATTTGTTTTAGTTAGGTGAAGCAAACAGAACAACTAATCTTAA